ATCATGATCCCTTGTGTCGAACGCTGCTGTCAAGCCATGGAATCATATAGTTGGAAGGAACATCCAGGATAATCTAGTCCAACCCCCTGCACAATGCAGGAAGTTCACAACTACCTTCCCCCACACTCCCAGTGGCCCCTGCTTCATGCCCAGAAGGGGGGGGGACACCCTCCAGAATCCCTGGCCAAATTGGCTTGGAGAAAATTGCTTCCTGACCCCAAAGTGGTGATCAGCATTTCCCTGGGCATGTACGAAAGGGCCACAAGAACTAAGCACTGATGCAACCTTTCCTGCACTCCCTCTCATGATCTTCCTAAGTTTACAGAATCAGTGCTGTCAGATGGCCATCTAGCCTCTGTTTGAAAACCTCCAAAGAAGGAGAGCCCACCACTTCCCAAGGAAGCCTGTTCCACTGAGGAGCCACTCCAATTGTCAGGAAGTTCTTAATGTTTAGCCGAAAATTCTTCTGATATAATTTCAACCTGTTGGTTCTGGTCCGACCTTCTGGGAGAGCAGAAAACAACTCCACACCATCCTCTGTATGATAGGCCTTCAAGTACTTGGAGATGGTTACCATATCACCTCTCAGTTGTCTCCTCTCCAGGCTAAACATACCCAGCTCCTTCAACCTTTCCTCATAGGACTTGGTCTCCAGACCCCTCACCATCTTCGTTGCCCTCCTCTGGACATGTTCCAACTTGTTTATATCCTTCTTAAATTGTGGTGCCCCAAACTGAACACAATACTCTAGGTGAGGTCTAACCAGAGCAGAGTAACGCAATACTATCACTTCACGTGATCAGGAAACTACTTCTTTTTTTTCTTTTTAAACAAAATTTTTTATTCAGGATATAAACATACATATTAAACAGAAACTACTTCTGTTGATACAGCCCAAAATCACATTTGCCTTTTTAGCTACCGCATCACACTGCTGACTCATGTTCAGTGTATGATCTGCTAAGAACCCTAGATTCTTTTCACACATACTACTGCCAAGACAAGTCTCCCCCATCCTATAATTATGTATTTGATTTTTCCTACCTAAATGCAGAACTTTACATTTATCCCCGTTGAAAATCATTTTATTTGTTTTAGCTCAGTTTTTTAGCCTGTCAAGGTCATCCTGTATCCTGACTCTGTCTTTTACTGCATTTGCTACCCCTCCCAATTTAGTATCATCTGCAAATTTAATAAGCCTTTCCTCTGTTCCTTCATTCAAATCATTTATAAAGAAGTTGAACAAAACATGTCTCAGGACAGATTCCCGAGGCACTCCACTTGTCACTCCTCTTCAAGAAGATGAGGAATCATTAGCAAGCATACTTTGGGTGTGATCTGTCGTCCAGTTACAGATCCACCTAACAGTACTAGGATACAAACCACATTTTACCAACTTGTCAACAAGAATAGTATGTGAAATCTTATCAAAAGCCATACTGAAATCAAGATAAATTATGTCTACAGTATTCCCCTGATCCAGCAAGGGAGTAACTTTCTCAAAAAGAGAGATAAAGTCAGTCTGACATGACTTGTTCTTGAGAAACCCATGCTGGCTCTTAGTGATCACAGCCATCCCGCTTATGGACGGACTGTTTGATTATTTGTTCTAAATTTTTTCCAGGCATAGACGTCAAGCTGACAGGTTAGTAATTACCCAGATCAGCATCCAACCCAGCTACCTATGGAGATTGTCCATAAAGACAACCAGCACAGTCTCTGTCCCATGGCCAGGGCAGGTCAGACTGGAAGGGGTCTAGAGTTCATATGTTCTCCAGGAAACTCTGAAGTTGCTTAGCTGCCACTCTCTCCACTACCTTACTCAGAAGTGCCACTGTATCTAAATGTTTTTAGGACTTAGAAATAATTTTGAAGATAAATTGGTAATGCTAGTTATAATGAACTAGATCTGCTAGTGTTGTGGGCCAGGCTGCTTTAGAAGAAGAAGAAGCGATTGGATTTATACCCTGCCCTTCAGTACCCAAGGGAGTCTCAGAGCGGCTTACAAATCCCTTTCCCTTCCCCTCCCCACAACAGACACCCTGTGAGGTAGGTGGGGCTCCTGCTGCAGAAGAAGAAGAAGAGGAAGAAGAGATATGCTGGCTCTTAGTGATCACAGCCATCCTGCTCCTGGACTGACTGTTTGATTATTTGTTCTAAAAATTTTCCAGGCATAGACGTCAAGCTGACAGATCAGTAATTACCCAGATCAGCATCCAACCCACCTCAATCCAGCTGCCTATGGAGATCGTCCATAAAGACAACCAGCACAGTCTCTGTCCCATGGCCAGGGCAGGTCAGGCTGGAAGGGGTCTAGAGTTCATATGTTCTCCAGGAAACTCTGAAGTTGCTTAGCTGCCACTCTCTCCACTACCTTACTCAGAAGTGCCACTGTATCTAAATGTTTTTAGGACTTAGAAATAATTTTGAAGATAAATTGGTAATGCTAGTTATAATGAACTAGATCTGCTAGTGTTGTGGGCCAGCCTGCTGCAGAAGAAGAAGAAGAGGAAGAAGAGATTGGATTTATACCCTGCCCTTCACTACCCAAGGGAGTCTCAGAGCGGCTTACAAACTCCTTTCCCTTCCCCTCCCCACAACAGACACCTTGTGAGGTAGGTAGGGCTGAGAGAGCTCTGAAAGAAACTGCTCTTTTTCAAGAACAGCTGTGTCAGAACTATGGCTTGCCCAAGGTCACCCAGCCATGTGCATGTGGAGGAGTGGGGAATCAAACCTGGTTCTCCCAGATTAGAGTCCCCGCACTTAACCACTACACCAAACTGGCTCTGGGGGCGATGAGCTGAGGATCGCTGATAACATCCCCGTCAGCACCACTGAGGCTCAACCAGCTGATGCTGTCAATGACCCTGAGATGGCAGAGGCAGGTCCTAGTGCCCCGGTTGCTGAGGACAGTATGTACTCCAGCCCCCTGAGCACTGAGAACACAGAACAAGTGTCATAAATTCTCGCTCCGCTGAAGCTGACTATTCCTCAGATGAGGAAAAAGCATGGAGCAACCCAGCCTTCTCTCGAGTCAACCCAGAAGAAGAACCTTTACCAGCACCTGAGGGAGAAAAGGCCCCAGCATCTGCACAGGAAGGGCAGCAAGGCGAAGAGACTGAGGTGCAGTCAGAGGGAGAGTCTGGTCCAGAACCTGGCCCAGCACCCCCAGTTGGAGACACCTTGAGGCCAGAATCCCCACCTAGCTCACCTGAGTGTGTAAGAGAGAAGGAGGAGTGTCAGACTTCAGCTGTTGCAAAGGCAACATGAGGAGTTGTCAGTCTTTGCAGATTGCCTCCCAGGATCCGGCCATAAGCAACCACGCTCACCTGCCTCGGTGCGGATGCAACCATTCTCGGACCTTGTCCTGGCTGCCAGCCTCTGCTCCTTGCTCCTGAAAACTCTGACTGATTTCCCAGCATTCTGACCCTCAGCTCTGTTTTTCAGCTTGCTTTTGGACTGTGTATCCAGCTTTCAGTGAAGTGTATTCAAAGCAACTGGCCAAACCCAGCACAAGAGGCAACCTGGAGAGGTGGCACCTCAACAACCCAAGACCTTGGAGAGTCTTCACAGGCTGCCTCGCCTCCCCTTTCCCCAGAGCCAGGGGAATACAGGAGGAGGTGGGCATGCTTGGAGCTCCTTGAGAGGAGGTGGAGCATGTGCCTCACTCCTCAGTGTCTGCCAAATCAAGAGGAACACCTGGGGTTGAGCCAAATGGATGGCTCTCTTGCAAGCAATGAGACCCAGCTGTGAGCCACAGATAAAGGACGGGCTTCAGATGGGGTAGGTGTGGGAGCAACTTGTCACCTTTCTGGAGACATGCAACCACACCACCAAAACCTGTTCCTGTCTGCAACTCCTGAACCTTTGGTTTCAACCCTGGACCTGCTTGACTATGCCTCTTTGACCTGCTCAGACTCTGCTTCTTGGACCCTTGGCTGGCTTTCCTTGTGTATGACTCTTGGACTGAACTCTTGACTTTGCACTTCTGGCTAGTGACTCTGTCTCGTCCCCTTGGTCTCAGCTGAGTCTGCTCTGACCCATGACAGCTAGTGCCAGAATATTAAATTCTGATATTATTCCCTAATGAAAATCTTTCTTGTTTACAGCAAAAATAAAGCAAGTAAATAATATCCACAAATCAATACCCCTCACACAAAGTACAACCAATTACACATAAAGACTTCACGTAATATGAATGCATGGATATGTGGAACCATAAAAAGGGCAAAAGAAGATATTTATTCTGGGATTGGGGAATGCAATTCTGGGATTTTTTATGTACATTTTCTAATCTCAGAATCAAATTATCAGTTTCCAAGTCCTCTTCTATTAGTGTAGCCAGACTGTAGCTGGCAACCCCCAGGAGCAATTATGGGGCAGGGACTGGCCAGTTCAGATTTTTCACATTGGAAAATGCATAGATAATAATAAATGTTTTTGCAAATCCTAGAGCATCCATGATGTCATTTCCAGTTTTCATTAGAAGTGATGTTGGTGGCCTGGCACAGTGTTGGAATGCACCCTGATTTTCCCCATTTCCTTCTACCTGTGCTTCAGGCACTGGCAGTCAACATAAAGAGTTATTGGGAGGTAATAAATAATGGCATTATAATAATGGCATTATTAGAAAGAAAAAGGGCTGCAGTATAATATAATGATTCAGGAGGGCATCTGTATAAAGGCGATAGGATTGTAGTCTATTCTACTGTTTATTATAAGTATTACCTTGCTCTTATTGCATTCTTTTGCTTCTGTAATTCCATTTTTGCATTGTTTATGATATATCATATTTGGTACCTGTTTTGCATAGTTTTCTAATTTTGTAATTCTGTTCATATTGAATTGTTCGTTGGATGTCTCATGCTATCTGATTGCATTATTTTATATTGTATAATCCATTGTGAGTTTCAGCAGCAAAGATGGACTGAAAATAAAGTAAGTAAACAAACAGAGAAACAAGGGTACCAAACAGTACTTCAAAGCATGATTATTTTTACCTGCCCCAATAACTCTCTCAATACGAATCCGTGAAGGATCGATCTCCTTTGCAAACTCATGGACAGCGAGTGATGGGTCTTCATATGTGTCTGGATCAATATATGTTTTGGTTCCTGGAAATCGCACTGCAAAAGCAGAAGGATAGTACCAATGATCTAGTTTACATGCACACACACATTATAAAAACACTTAGAGTAGCAATCTAGAGATGGGTCTATGAGAAATTTAATGTTTAAGAAATACTGCCACTGTAGTCATAATATGAACTCCCTGACAAGATTCTGCTACTCTGAATGCAATAACTAAGAAGTCCAAGTAATGTCAATGGGATAATCTCCCAAGAAGGGATGGACGGACAGACAGACAGATGGATGACAGAGAGATATAGATCGTGTAAGGCCCCCTATGTGCCTATACAAAGGGGAGCAACTGGCAGAAAACCATCTTTCACCCCCCAACACCCTCTGTGTTGTAGTAGTAGCCATGTCTGACCTAGAAGCAGGCCAGAGTGTGGCCTAGAAATGTACACTAAACAAAGATGGAGCAGAGCCAAACAAAATGGTTAATGGCAGCAAAGAACAAGTCTGAACTTGCTATCTTGGGGATGTGGCTTTAGGGCATCTGCTAAACTAAGTTTTCCCTGCACCCATCTTGATTTGGAATACATTTCTAGGCCACACTCTGACCTGCTTCTAGGTCAGACATGGCTAGTACTCATACACAGAGGGTGTTGGGGTATGTGTGAAAGGTGATAAGGGGTGTTTTCTGCCAGTTGATCCCCATTTGTATAGGCACATAGGGGCCCTTACACTATCTATCTATCTATCTATCTATCTATCTATCTATCTATCTATCTATCTATCTATCCATCCATCCATCCCAGTTGCTCCCCTTTGCATATACACATAAGGGGTCTTACAGTGCCCCCCCCCATGTAATGGAGGAAATGTGACAACAGCACATAACTTTGTTACATACTTGCCAATTTGATGGACTCCCAGGAAAGGATTGACTGGGGAGTGAGGAAAAGGAGAGGGAGAAGGAAGAGGTTGATGGAGGGATCACCAGGCAAAAAAACAATAATTTGTTTTTGTGTGTAAGGCCCAATCAGAAATTAATCCCTTCAGCAAATTGTTTCAAAGGGCAGGTGCATTAGCATGACCCCAAGTCCCATTTTTTCTATAACTAGGCAGCCACAGCTCTGTTGCTGTGTGTCTGTCCTGGGCGCCTACTAACAGGTCACCCCCAAATTTGTTCGGGTTCCTTTCCATCTTCACAGCCGCTTCTTTGTGGACTTCTGCACATCTGGAATGATAATTATAACCCCAACAGCCTCCTATTATTTCTGCTTATCTCTGTATTTCCAGTACTTGTGTGCATGTTTTAAAGTGTGTTTTATTTCTATATTTGTGCATTTTATTAGGATTTCTTCTTTTACTAAAAACAGCCATTTTGCTTAAGCCACTGCCTGGTTCATTTCTGAAAGTTTCTCTAAGGGAAAGACCCCAGTAAAACATAGGTGGACAATCTCGCTCTTTACCTCCCTCCAAGCTTTCCTGACTCCTTGCTAATCCCCCTAATAAACAGGAGACAGCCTTTTTAGACTAATATAGCATTTGAAGAAACTGTAGATAGCTAGCTAGCTAGCTAGATAGATAGAGATATCTCATTGCTGACAACAGCAATATTTGTATCAAACAGTTAGTATAGTTAAGGCTGTAGCACATTTATGAGGAAGTAAGTTCCATTGAACTCTATGAAACTTATTTCTGAGTAAACATTCATAGGACTGGACTACAAATAAGTGAAAACATGAGACAGAATTATTCTCCTGTCTCCTCACATTTGTTTTTTATGGGAAGGAACAGCACTATGTAAATGTTAGCAATGAGACAGAAATTGCAAGTAAAATGATAAGCATTAATTTTTACCAAACAAGCATGATATAGTTCCCAGAGGCAGAAGCTGGAAAGTTCAGAGAAAATCACATAATGAGGAGCAGGTGGAAATTCACAAACACATCTTCAGTGCTGATGAAATGCATTTATCTTGAAGCGCAAAGCAAGGTCTTTTTCCTCAGGCAAGCTCTCTGGAAATAATGCAGGTTTTAAAAATAACCAAAGTTCTTTGATAAACTTTGGAGGCTCTGATATGCATATCTCTGTGTTAGTAGGAATCACCTAAATCATTTCAGTATTGGGGATATATTACGCACACAGTGGAGATTATGGATGCTCCCTCAACACTGAACAATTAGCCCTGGAGCTCTGTGTTCCCACTGAAAGGGGTTTTGAATCAGTTTTTAAAAAAATTCTTGCTCTCTCTGATCATGCAAATCCTATGGGTCTGTTCGTACAAACCAAAAATGAAGCAAAATATGTAACATAAATTGGCTAGTCTTTATTTGGATGTGAAACATCACGGATAGCTTTGCTTACAATGTCCATTCTGCAAATGAGCTCTTCGTTTTTCTTCAGACTTCATTTTTGCCTTTATATACCACTGGCACCTTCAAGGAAAAAAGAACAGTATTTTACTTCTTCAAATGACTTTTGAATTAATTTTAATTCTTCTCATTGACTCCGGCAGCTAAAGGAACTGCAAAAAAATGAAGTACATGGAAAATTAAAATTGATCTGGTAGACTTCAGATTTAATAAATACATCTATAGTAGCACATTAAAGTCTACACTATGTGCATAGCCCAGGCTAGCCCAATCTTGTCAGATCTCAGAAGCTAAGCAGGGTTGGCCCTTGCAAGTATTTGGATGGGAGACCTCCAAGGAATACCAGGGTCATGACGCAGAGGGAGAAAGTGGCATGCCACCTCTGAACTTCCCTGCCTTGAAATTCCTATGGGATCGCCATATGTCAGCTGCGACTTGGTGGCACTTTTCACCACCACATTTTCTCTATGTTCACAAAAAAGCTGATGGCCTTGAGTCTGTCACACTCTAAGATTTTACACACAGATGTCCATGAAAGAGAACTCAAGGTGGGGTTAGGCTTCAGTCTGAAATACTGCAGAGAGAGGCTAAACCTGTCCTTCAGCCATAAAACTCAGGCCTTCAGGGAATAACTAACCCCATCCCAAGTATTCTTGGTGCCAGCTCCATCTATAAAGTGCTTGTATTTATTGGGGAACAGCACGAGGATTTTGTATTGGGAGTTTTGCACTGAAAGCTTGTGTCTCAGGTGAATGGGCTCTTTTCTGTTTGTGATAACAGAACACAGGTAGGGTGCCACTATTGGTTCCATTGTGAAACTTACAAGTAGGTTGTGCTCACACACACAATTAGTCGCACCATAGGCACGAATGCTGGGCGGATTTTAAGGGCGCGATCAGACACGAACGTCTGGGAAGTGCCCTGCACCCATCGGAAACCCATTTTGCTCCGCCACAGAAGTGGAGTAAAAAGACACCATGGAAGTCCGGTAGCAAATGGGTTGTTGTGATGGGCCATGGACGGACTTTCCCCCATCTGATCGCCCCAGCATGCTCTCATAGCATCGGGATGGTCTGATCAGGCCATATCGGAAACCCATTTTGCTCCACCACAGAAGTGGAGTAAAAAGACACCAGGGAAGTCCAGTAGCAAATGGGTTGTGACGGGCCATGGACAGACTTTCCCCCATCTGATCGCTCCAGCATGCTCTCATAGCATCGGGATGGTCTGATCAGGCCATCCCAACTCTGTGCTGTTGTCCCCCCCCCACTTCTCAGTATGTGCATCATGACACACTCCACAGGGAGCCTGCAGTGCAAAGATGTGATTCATCGATTCCCTGTTTCAGCGAATCGGAAACAAACAGCAACACCCCCCCGACTCACCCGCGGTTGCATCTGATCACGCAGTGGTGGGCTGCCCCACAGCTTCAAAGGGCTGTGTGATCGCGCAACTGCAGGTCAAATTCCTCAGGAGGAAATAGCCTCGCTTCCCCCCCCGGTTTATCTTGCGTGTCTGACTGCACCTGTAGCCCCATAAGTACCGTGATTTTTTACAGTTTGGGGCAGTTTTTACAGTTTGGGGGTAGGGGACACTAAAGCCGCTTCTCCCTGCATGCTGTGGTTGCAAATTGAAAGAGCCAGTGTGAATCAGAGAGGCTCGAAAGTCCCACTGCATGTTGGTTCTCTATGTTGGTCCCCAACAAAGATGAAAATGTTGTAATGTGTAGATAGGCCCTAAAATAATGGATACAATTCACTTCTGTGGGTAAAAGTGCTTCACTTGGGGACAGTGTTGCAGTGGGGGCAAAACCTGAGAATAATGCTAGTACTTCTGCTACTGACAGGGAACCCAATATATATTTTTGCCACTTCTGTCTGTACAATGACTATGGGCAGCATGGGCATACCTTCTAGTTTTTATGTGCTTCAGTAATATTTGTGTGGTACAAACACCATGTTAGGCCAGGATCCAAAGAACCATGGAATTCATTTGGTGTTCCTTGTGATTTGTCTTCCTCCAGTAGTAATGCTCCTTGTCAAGCTATTTTTAAAAATCAGAGTTTAAGAGCAGTTTGTGGCATGGTATGAACCTAGAAAGCTCTTTTGGGTGGCAACCCAATAAACATTTTTTGGGGGCATGGCACCAAAAATCTGGAAATCCCTCTCTAGTGAGATTCATCTGCCTGCCTCTATTGTCCTCTTCTGCCAGTGGGTGAAGATTTTTTTGTTTTGTTTTGGCATTCCCCCACTAACTGTTATTGGCCCTTTCCCCAGGTTGTATTGCTATGTGTGTTTGTGGGTTATATATTTTATTGACTTGTTTAAACATTTTACATACATTTATATTTAAATGTCCTGATGCTTCAGTGTTGAAATGTTTTAATGTTTTGATGTTTGCTGCCCTGGGGAGCCTATTTGGGTGGAAAAGTGAGATAGAAATGTTTTAAATAAAAAGAACATGGCGACATCTAAGATCAGTGCAGGGAGATGAAGGGGTCCTGTCCTTCCCCCTCCCATGCCATTTCCTAGAGCTTAAATGGCAACTATTTCAGTTCTTGGAAACACTGGAAGGGGATAGACAGCAGGATTAGAGGAATGAAAGGGAATAAAACTGATGGCAGCTTCAGCTAAAACAAAGTTGTCTTAATCTGCACAGCCAATCAGATCTCCAGTGGCCAGTCCCATGTGGCCCCATATGGCCCCACCAACTTCTAAAATACTTGGTAGGCACCAGGAAAGGTGCTGGCAGGCACCATGGTGCTTACAGGCAATATGTTGGTAACCCCTGCTTGAAACTGTGACTGAGTTTTTACAAGAATTAGAACTTTAAATTCAGGAAATTCTTTATGGAATACACAGCTCACTGAACTGTTTTACAGAGGCCTGGGGGAAGAAGGGAAGAAGAATTAGCAGCCATGTGTCTTAAATTAAGATGGGAGGCAAAGGAGGTTATTGTGGAGAAGATGGGTAGGATGCTGGTGATTGGTGAACAGCATGTTGCCACCATCACCCTCAAATCTGCTGCCTGAGGTAATCACCTTAATTGTTCTCATTATCAAGCTGGCCCTGGTTCTGCCCCTAGGTCTGTCCAAGGCATTGCTGATTCATTGATAGAAGTTGAAAAGCTTACAAACATTGTTGCTGAGAGTTTTGTTCCTCTAGTAGCTGGAATGTCCATGAATGCTGTATAAAGTCTCGGAAGCTGTCACTGCAGGACTTCAACACTGTAAATCCCATAGCAAATGATAGAAATCTTCTATTGATTACCCTAGATATAAACTTTTAATTCTCTGGAATTTACACTACAACCACCATCATTGTATTCTTTTGTGATTGTACAACCTTACATTTTACTATCTGAAACTTGAGGGAAAAATGCTTTCTGTTCACTCAGCTACATTGGCAGGTGCTTATCTACTCATGTCTCTTCCGTATTAATAGAATCATCAGCAGCCTTGTGATTCAAGAGTACATCAAATTGATAATACTAAATACTGAGTCAGAACACATCTGTAGAATACCAGTTAATTCTTGCACTTTGAAATTTGACTTATAATCAATTGATTGTTTGACCTATAATCAATTGATTGTTTTGAATAATCTTTCCTGACAAAAAAAAAGTTTAGAAAGAAACAGTTTAGAAATAGTTTAGAAAGGCTTATTTTAGTGTTTGACTTCAGAAAGTGAATTCATATGTTTATTATGATTATGTAACTGAAAAATCTAGTCAATTTAATATGGGTATGTGAAACAGTAGAGCTAGTTTGCAAATACATCTAATGAACTGGGAAGGAATCCAGAAATACTTTGGTCTTTCTCCATCTTATTTCATCATTGAATTCCTCGAATTCAAGTAATACTATAGAATGTCACTTCCTTGCTGCATATGCTCCTTTCTTTTCAAAGGTCTGCAACTCTGATGGTTGCATCTATCCTACCTGTCTGATCTAAAGTCGAAAAGCCTGGGAATGGGTGGGGGGAGCAGGGGAAGGTGAAAGAAAGTGAAGAAACACCTGGTTGTGGTGTGGGAAAAAATGGAAAATGGGGGAAGGAGAAGGTGAAGAAAAGCCTGGGGAACAGTGAATGTGTGGGAAATGGAGGGGGAGAATGGAGAAAAGGCTGGACAGAGAGAGAGAAAAAGAAAGTGGAGAATGGGCTAGGGGGAGAGAAGGCAGACCAGTGTAAGAGCACTGGAGTTCCCTCCTCCATCAATCTTGCCAGTCCTCCACTTGCATCTCTTTTAAAATCGTGGTGGATTGTAAAATTCCTTGAGCTTAGGAAAAGCCGGGTGGGCAGAAGAAAGAAACACATAAACATGGATTATTTTGTGCAGCACAATTGCATTGTTAATTACCTTCCAGTGATGAGGAAGAACAGAGTGAGAATGACCAGGAGAGTGAATCCACCCACAGCAGCAGTGGCAATGACCAGGATCTGCCCCTGTTCCGCAGCTATATCTGAGGCTGGAACAAAAACACACAGAAGTAAATGTTTGAACAACCATTTCATGTAGAAGAAATGATATGATTTTACCAGCCACATGCAAAGGGCTGCCGGCACAGGACTGGGAAATTCCAGGAGATTTGGGGATGGATCCTGGGGAAGGGGAGAGACCTCAGCAGCCTCTAATGCCATAGAGTCCACCCTCCATAGCAGCAATTTGTCATCTGGAAATCAGTCGTGATTCTGGGAGACCTCCAGGCCTCACCTGGTGGTAGGTAGCCCTACAAATGCATCAGGTATTAGCAATGTAACTTGCTATGATTTGACTGGCATTTTGCTTCTGGAGAGAAATAATGGTGATATCAAGGGCTAGAGAACATTTCTGGAGCTTGTTTTGTAGTTTGTCCCTGAAAGAAATGTAGAAATAATTAACTGCATTCTTTTTTAGAACTTTGATAGCATTGTAGTACAATTTTTATTCTCATAATTTATGAGGTTGGTTGCACTGAGAGCAAGAGAGTCAATGTACTTCTTGGCTTGTATGTCAATAAAGGTACTGAAACTGAAGCTGTCCTTCCTGGCTGAGAAGAGATTGTATCTGGAATGTTTCCAGAACTTCACTAGAGTTTTAGGAGGAGGTTGTGGAGTCAATTCTTTAGAAATTCTTCACCCCCCCCTTTAACAAATTTCCCAATATGTACTAAGCATTACACATGCACAGTTTATAGGGAGAAGCTTGACCATGATACTTAATATGACATCCTAAGGGGCATAAGACGTCTATCCAGTGAAACCAAATACCTGTGAAAAGTGGGTTTGCAAGCATGCTGGATATGACTGAGGGATCATCAACTTGCACAAGATACTGTTTGTTGTAATGGACAAGCAGTATGGGATAGTGGTTAGAGTTTTGAACTAAGTTCTGGGAGACCCAGGTTGGAATCCTCACTCTGCCATGGAAGCTTGCTGGGTGACCTTAGGCCAGTCACATACTCTCTACCTAGCCTACCTTTGAGAGTTGTTGTGAAGATAATATAGAGGAGGAGAGAATGATGTAAGCCATTTTGGGTCCCTACTGAGGATGAAGGAGGATTATAAATGAAGCAAATAAATAGTCAAAATGATTACAAAGCCATAGAAGAGTAAGCATTCGAACACTTCAGCACACTCTCATTCATTTGCAAAGATCTCATGATCTTTGCAAGATCAAAGTATAACTTTAGAAACAAGAATACAGATTGAGCTTTGAAGAGCTGTAAAAGCTACTAAAAGCAGCATTAATTTATGTCCAATTAGCAATAAAAACTATGATTTGTCTGGCATTGGTTTCTTAGTGTGTGATGACAATAAGTGGCAACAGGGCATTTCATGCCCATCAAAAACTGTTCACAAGGAACTCGAGCAGGTAGAGTGGCTGTACAATCAGTGAGGGATGGGAGCCTTTTGTTTCAGTCTCAACGCCCAACTATTAAATTGCTAGTCATAATGAAGTAATGAAGTTTACACTTAGCATCATGCTCTGCTCCTTTCTGTCCCAGTTGCTTGGAAGACCACAATATAACAAAATATGATATATAACAAGAAATTATACATAAAATAATATTCCCAGGAATACAAATATTGTTCAATTACTCTGCATATTCTGCCCAAATATTGAACAGAACCTCCAGTCGCTGCTTCGGAGACTAATAAAGCAAAGAATATTTAACAGCAATAAAAAAGAACATTGCAAACCATTGAATGCACTGCAGCTGAGAAGCTACGGCCCTCTCTAACTTAAGGTTAAAACACATCTATTTTTTCCATGTAAACATGTTTTCTATTGCATGTACATGTGGCAGTAGAACCTTGCAGATCTTTGTGTATGACAGTATACAGAAGGATATGTTCTTTTCCCTGCAGCAGTCAACAATCTTTTGGCTTTGGTTCCTGCTCCAGAATGCACGATAAGGGCAGTGTTAACTGTTAAACACCTTATAGGCAATGTTTAGCTGCTTGTCTGGGGCCAAGCAGGCAGTCTTTCAGAACAGTAGGGGTGGATAGTTCAAAAGCAAACCAGGAGCCAGATCAGAGTCAGAAGATTTATATAACCAAGCAGAATCCTCATCCGTCATTGTTCCAGATTTTATATAAAATGCATGTGCAGTGTCCCACAGATTTCAGTTCATATGCAGTCCCCCCTTCTACATTACAGATTTGCTTGTGCACACAGATGAACACTGTAAAAAGAAAATCTTGATGTATTTGTATGTAAAAAAGGTAAAGGTAAAGGTTCCCTTGCTCGAAAGCCAGTCGAATCCGACTCTAGGGTTGCGGTGCTCATCTCCGTTTCAAAGCCGAAGAGCCAGCGCTGTCCGAAGACATTTCTGTGGTCATGTGGCCGGCATGACTAAACACCAAGGCGCACGGAACGCTGTTACCTTCCCACCAAAGCGGTACTTATTTATCTACTTGCAATTTCTTGCTTTCGAACTGCTAGGTTGGCAGGAGCTCGAACTAGAGACAGGAGCTCACCCCGTCTTGTGGCACCCGGGTCTTGAACTGCTGAACTACTGACCTTCCACAGCCTGCAGTTCAGCGTCTTAACCACTTGAGCCACCGCAACTCCGTATTTGTATGTACATTTGTATTAAGATTCTTTTTGTATAGTGTTTCACCACTATGGAGGAGCATGAAACATGGCATTAAAAAAAAAGCCCTTCAGTCGTAAGTACAATTATGTCCACAGTGGGGACCCAATCATGGGGTGGAGAAAAGACTGAGGCACAACCAGTGTTCCCGCTCATTAACGCAGGAAGCCCCACTCAGCAGCAATTGGGATCCACTCAGCCTCTTGCACTGCCCATTGCCCATTTTAAGATGACAGCAGTTATATTCTGCTCAGGATGTGAACTGCTTTGTTCAGTAGGGAAAAAAATTAAAGGGAACATGCAGGTTTTGATAAAAGCATGGCAATAACTCTAATCCTCAGCGTCTTCCATCAACATTTTTTGGCATCAACTGGTGCAGGGACTTCAGATGACATGAGCCAAGTCCTGCCCTGGCCCATTTGTCAGGGAACCTGGACAGTAACACTGACTTTACAAGGATGCACATATGTGCACACACTCCTTGGCACTACTCAAAATCTGAGAGTACAGCTGATGCATCATTTGCAAGCTAGAAGGACTAACAGCCCTCCACCCTGGGCTCTTGTGGGGACATACCTTTATGGGGCAACTGAGGAGCCCCACTCATTCATGTCCCTGGACTGTGTTCCACTGTCGTAATCCAGCCACTGCATCTAGCTTGCCATCTAGCTTTCCTCACTTCATCACTAATGAGCACAGTTGTTTATCCCTAGGTATAAAGTCAAGCATTTTGTATACAATTTGGAACACAGGTGAATTAGTTGCACTTCAGAAACAAGATCAGGTAATTTGGAGCTCCAGAAGCCAGAGAAAAATTCTGTGAGAAATATTTTGGAAGCATCCCCATTTACAGCCACACCACATGGCTAATAGGTATGTTCAGCCTAATGGGTCAGAAATGATGCGGTCCTGCTCTATCTGTGCTACAAAAATTTGGCTTCATAATCTATCCTCATTTTAGTAGCATCAGTAGTGGGACTATATTTCATTTTATGTTGAATCTCAAAAGTGATATTCTATAGACTTCCTGTACATCTCCAGCAGCGAGAACACAAAACTTGAGAACTGGTTCTGTCGCCATGTTCATCAATCCACATGCAACCAGGGAACATAAGCCCTTTGCCTTTTCACAAGCTTTGAATGTCTCTTGCTTTTACTGTATAGCATATAAAAGCAACTTGAACTTAATTTTAAAGGTGCAAGTATTTTTCTTCTGTAACAGGTTGAACATTCAACTCTCTGTGAGCTGGTCCCCTATTACCAGCTCAATTTTGTATGTTAGCTGCATGCTTTAGTTATTGCAATTTGACATCTATCAGCCAGCAGACCCTCCAGCAGAGTGAAAGATAGGAAAGTGACAGAAAGACAGCTGGACAGATAAAAGGGAGCAGCTGTAAGACAGATAGCTAGAAACTGCAGGGACTGGAGCTCTAATGGACAGGAATTAACTGTCGGTGGTTTAGAAAGATGCAAAGGGCATTCCAAACAACAACAAAAATGATGTTTTTAAAGGCATGTGCTAAAGATTTGATAATACATCCTTTAATGGGAATATTTGAGGTGTGCTGTCCCAATGAACAGATGAGCAATCTCGAGTGTGAAACACATATGACAAAATCATGAAAAAAGGCATGCTGAACTATATGCTCTGAACAAGGAATGCACCATAGTAATTAACTATATTAACTATATCCAAATGTTTCATACAAATACCTGTCACACTCCTGGCAAGGTGGCAGGGCACAGTTTTGGGGAGAGGAAGGGGGTAGAGGAATTCATTGTCTCAGCACAGAACAATAATAGTAACATAATTTTGCTAAATGAAGAATATTGTCCAAGTTATTGTAAGAAAACTGACTGGTTTCTCATGGACCTCAAGAGAACATAGTACATTCTCCAGCCTGGTTAGGCTAGATTAATCATTTCCAGTTGAGATTAGAGACCTCTTTACCAGGCTGGGGGTGGGGACCATTAAAGCAAAAAATCCGAATCCATTGTTAGGCTCTGGACCCTGAGAATTCCAGACTCTTCTTTGAGTCCGTTTAATCTTGTACCTGAAACTTTGTTGGGTCAGGACTTTTAACATGGTGACAAAATTTACCCTCTCCAAAAGAGTGATTGAAGCTAGATACCATGTATCTTTATGAGAAGTCATGGATTCTAAATCAGGGAGGCTGTGCCTTGTGTTCCAGTATCTTTCATTCTACATATTAAACACCAAGATAACAATTGCTTCTAATAGACTGTGAGCCTACAGAGCCCTCTACAGAAAACAGCAGTCCCACATTGATCAGCCGTAGGGAACAGGGAGAGGAAAGCACAGGGGATTAAATCCAGGTTTGGAGAGAGGTATAAATCCAAGCTCTTCCTCCTCCTCTTCCTCCTCCTCC